CACCAAGTATAAGTGTGCTTATTCTGTCCCGCATACCTCAGAGATATTGCCAGCACAGTAGATAGGATCATGTGTGAAGCAAGTAGAATGCATTGTCTGGTTTCCTGGTGTAGAGAAGAATTAGGTTAACATAATACTGTCAGCTATGGCCAGGAATCCTGGTGACACGGTCGGTTAAACTTTAGGCTACTAACCTCAAGGTCAGCAGTTCAAACCCACCAACTGCTCCTCAGGAGAATTACTAGGCAGTATGCTCTGGTACCTCCACTTGTCTGTTAGTCTGTCACACGGTGGTGCCTTATGTGTTGCTGTGAAGCTGAAAGCTATGTTACTGGTATTTTACAAACCAGTAGGACCACCCAAAGTAGACACGTTTCAGCTTAACTTCTGACTCAGACAGGCTAAGAAGAAGGAGAGATGGACTACTTCTGAATATTTAGCCACCAAAAACATGAATAACCACAGAATATTGTCAAATATAGTGCAGGAAGATGAGCCTCTTAGGTTGGAAGGCGCTCAAAATGTGGCTAGGGAAGAGATGCCTTGTCAAAGTAGATTCGATGACAATAACGTAAGTGGAGTAAAGCTTTTGGGACATTCATTTGTTTATGGGGCACAATTCAAATTGAGAAACATTTGCAAACATCTATTAGTGTTCAAAAGCAAAGATGTCAGTTTGAGAATTAAGGTGCATGGTATTTTCAATGTCATCATATGCATGTGAAAGTTGGACAATGAATAAGGAAGACCATAATGGAAAGATGATTGCATTTGAGTTATGTTGTTGAAAGAGAATAACATAAGTATCATGGACTGCCAGAAGAACGCACCAATTTGTGTTGGAAGCAGTACAGCCAGAGTGCCCCTTAGAAGCCAGGATGTGAGACTTCATCTCTCATTCCTCAGACATGTTGTCAGGAAGGATCAGCCCTTGGAGAAGGACATCATACTTAGTAAAGTCATGGTGGTAATGGTGTGTCATTGAATAGACTCTGTATAGGGTTTCTGAGGCTGAAATCTTTATGGGAGCAGAAAGCTTCATGTTTCTCCCAAGGAGTGACTGGTAGATTCAAACTTATAACCTTGTGGTTAGCAACCCAGCTCATAACCCACTAAGCTACCAGGCTTCCTTGGTAAAGCAGAGGGTCAGCAAAAAAGAGGAAGACCCCCAATGAGATGGACTGGCCCAGGAGCAGCAGCAACAGGCTCAAATGTAACTACAATTGTGAGGATGGCTCAGGACCGGGCAGTATTTTGTTCTGTTGTGCATAGGGTCACTATGAGTCAGAACTGCCTTGAAGTCACCTAACAACAACAATTTTCAATAACTTCATATGCATGTGAAAGTTAGACAGTGAATAAGGAGGGCCATACAAGAAATGACGCACTGGATTTGCGTTGTAGGGAATATTAGAAGTTTCATGGACTGCTCAAAAAACAAACCAATAACCTGTTGGAAAAAGTGCAACCATAATGCTTCTTGGAAGCCAAGATGGCCAGGCTTCATCTCTCATACTTCAGACATGGTATCAGGAGGGACTAGGACATCATGCTTGATAAAGCAGAGATTGTCAAGGAGGAAGACCCCCAACAACATGGATTGACAATGTGTTTGCAACAATAGGGGTTTGTGTAGATAATGAAGGACTGAGCAGTGGAGTCACTGAATCACAACCAACTTTTGATGGTACTTGAGAATTACAACAGCAGATCGCCAGGCATTTCTTCCGAGGTGCCTGTAGGTGAACTCAAACTTCCGAGCTTACAAACAGCAGCCAAGCAGGATCACCTTTTATCCCCCTACCTCCCCGAATACCACAGGCTTCTTTAAAAAAAGATGCAGCTGCCATGGAGTTCGCATGTCAAAGCGAGGCTTTCAGTAAAGTAGATTGCCAGACCTTTCTTCCTCGATGCCTCTGGGTAAGTTCAAACAATTTATCCCAGTTTGGTGTGAGGCTAAAGCAGATCATAGCCCCCTATGCAGTGAAATTCCTAAAAGAAACTCCAAGTGTTCAGTGCCCAACAGTTGTTAGAAGCTCCTCTGGACACAGCTCACAAAAATTACGTTAACCTGCTGACCACCAACATCCTGTTCCTTCTAGAGACCCTCAGAGCCAAACCACCAGGTTACATTACAGACCGTGGTCCACTCAGGGCAGGCCTGCGTCTCTGAGAACTTTCCTGGTGAACATCTGACCCCAGCGACTTGAGGACACAAAACTGAATTATGCAACTCATTATATGTCCCAAAGGCAACGTCAGCCCAGGGTCTGTGGCTTCGCTCAGGAAAATAATCAAACTCACTGTGAGCGCCATTCATGGGAGCAGTTTCCCAGCTGGGCTCCACCAATGGCCTCTTCATCTTTTCACTGGCTGTCTGACCTCCAGAAGGGGTTACCTTTTTATTTTTGTTTGTTTTTTTTATAAACTACAAACATAATGCCAATTATGTTCCGTAATCCATTAAATGCACTAAGAAGTAAAGCTCATTATCCTCTATATAACACATGGACGGGTGGCTATTACAAGCAGAGAGCACCGATTCCCCATAAAAATGAGCAAGGTGTCTGATAACAAACAGCCGGCCATGGTGGATCTCAGCGAAAAACCCATTAAGCAAAAAGAAAAATCGCATTGCACGTGGGGCCGTGACTTTAAACACTTACCTTAAAGAAAGCAACATGTTCCTGTCTTCAATCACCTTGGTGGCCTCAGAGGGGTTTCTGCATTAATTTTAACATCTTGAAAAGATCTTTTTTTTTTTTTTTCCCTAAATAATATCTGCAGAAGCCAGCAATTTGAGCACAGGCCTCTAATTTTCTCTCCTAGCGTATTGGACAGAAATAAGTAAGGAAATATGATAATAGGTAAAAAACAAACAAACAAAAACAAAACAACAAATCAGGACCTACACTGACAACTGGGTGTGGCCTACATCCCATAACTGCAGGGGTTCCTGGAAATTGCAGAAAATCCTGCCTGGTTAGAGCTGTCAGGGGAAGTATAAGACCGGCGGTCACTCTGGAATTTTGAATACACGCACATATCTTGCACTATTGTTCCTGGTGTATCTGGAATTCACATGTAGCTGGGGGTCCTGTATTTCCGTTTGCTAGATTTAGCAACCTTCAAGGGCTGACAGCGAGTCAGCTCTGACTCACAGGGACCTTACAAGCCTGGAATACTGCTCCCTGGGGTCTCCAAGGCTGTGGTCTTTATGGGAGCAGCTGGTGAGTTCGAACCATCCATCTTGTGGTTCGCAGCCCAGCACTTAGCCCACTGTGCCACTTGGTGGGCCCCCATTCTACAGAACTCTGTGAGAAGTAGAGAAGGTCAGGGATTTGTACCAGCTGAAACGACCCCTTCCCACCCCAACCTTCAGACATCCGCCAAGAGGGGTCCAGGCTCCAGGGAGCGCAACGCACTTGTGTGTGTCCCTTTGAGAGAGACCACTGCAGGAATTTTGGGGTTTACAGCTCGCTTTTAAGGCAGAGAAACCAAAGATGGCTGAAGGATGACCAATGAGGAGCATTCAGGGTGACCTGTGAAGATTCCCCCAGAAAACCGAGTTCCCAGGACAAAGATTTCCCTTTTAAAACCAGCACAGCTTATGTGGCCCTATGATTATACAATGCCCATGGCAGTGTTCCTCTTGCCCTGTGCCAGACAACCTACAAAAATAATAAAAATAATAATATTTTGAGTTTTGTTCTCACCTGAGCAAGTATATGTTCAGTAGCAAAAAAAATTTTTAAATTAAAAATAAAAAAACAAGAACTAATGCTTTTTGTGCACTGGTGTTGACTTAGCTTCCTGAGAGTCTCAGTTGTAAGCAGAGTGAGGTACCTCTGACTATCCAGTTTGTGTAAGACAAGACGCATGAGCTTGTCCAGCTGCACTGCTGTGATGGTCGGAATCAGCTGGCCCATTGTGGAGGCCACCTCTCAACACGGCCTTTCCAGGCACATGCTTAACATGACTGTATTACCTACAACAGAATGAAACGTGCCCAGTCCTGAGCCACCCCCATGGGCTCGGCGTAGATGAGTGCATCGTTGAAGGCACTGGGGACTTCCTGGTTTTTCGCTGACCCTCTGTTTTCTCAAAGGAACCCTGGTAGCAGAATGGGTTGTATGGTGGGCTACTGAACTGCAAACTCAGAAGTCTGAACCCACCAGCCTTTCTTGGAGGAAACAGATGAGGATTTCTGCTTCTGCAGGGACGTTATGAATCAGAACCAACTTTACGGCACAAAACAACAGCAGCCGCTACAGTGCCAACCATCACGCCCTTCTCCAGCGATGGGTCCCTCCCTGATGCTGGGCTCATATTCTGTGGCCCATCAGGTTTTCTTTGGCAGCTTTCCATGAATCAATCACCAGGCCTTTCTTCCTTGTCTGTCTTGGTCTGGCGTGTCGCTGAAACCTGCCCACCATGGGTAACCCTGCTGATTGTGACACACTGATGGCTTCCAGCCTCACAGCAACATGCAAACCACCTCAGTGTGGCAAGCTGACAGATGAGTGAGGGGAGGGTTGGGCTGCTACCTGATTCCCTTTGGATTGTATTCGCGTCTTTGCTTACCTGCTTCATATGCTGTGTGAGGCTGCTTTTTGATGCGTTTTGTTGTTCAGTGCTATCCACTTGATCCAGACTCATAATGCCCCAATGTGCAAGAGCAGAATGGCCCCATGGGATTTTCTAGGTTGGTCGCCACCCCTTTCTCTGCCAGGCCTACTGGCTGAGTTTGAACTGTCAGCCTTTCGGAGAGCAGGCTCAAAAGTCACTGTTGTACCACCAGGGCACTGTCAATGTCTTGCGGCAACATTCTTTATCTTAAAACTAGGTATTCATACAAAGTGAGCATTTGAAATGAGACCGGTTTGTAAAAGCGTGGCATGGTTGGTGTGAGGCAGGCGCCCAATGGCTGGGGTCCCTGGGGTCCCTGCGCTTTGCTCCGTCCACCTCTCTAACACCTGCCCTCTGCTCTCCTTCTGCAGTGGCTGAGAGCCGTGGTGTCCTGGACAGCATCCAGAGGTTCTCCCTGCTGCCCACCTACCTCCCGGTGACCTACCGTGTCCACGACGCTGACTTGGTCTTCTTCCTCAAGGAGGCCAACCAGGACATCATGCGGAACTCCAGCCTGCAGTCCCGGGTGGAATCGTTCCTTGTCTACAGGTCCCGGGGGCTGCCCGCACTCAGCGCCAGCTACGGGCCCTTCTCTGTGCAGCAGGTGGTGCCTCAGGAACTGATGCTGCCCTCCAACCCCTTCGGGCCCACCAGCAAGTGCCCGCTCAACTGGAAGCTGAAGGCCTATGTCCTTCAGGACAGAGCCTACCCGAGCCGGCCCAAAGTGCAGGTTCTGTTCCACATCGTGGGCCGGGACTGGGATGACCACAGTGCCCCCGAGCACCTGCCCTGTCTTCGGGTGTTCGCCTTCCGGGAGACCCGAGAGGTCAGGGCCAGCTGCCAGCTGAGAGGGGTGCTCGGGCTGTGTGTGGCCGAGCTGGAGCTGCTACCCAGCTGGTTCAGCGCCCCCACCGTGGTGGCCGGGAGGAAAAAGGTGACTGAGCGGCCTGAGGGGACCCCGGTGGAGCTCTACTACGCCGTGCAGCCGGGGGATGGGCGTGGGGACTGCGCCAAGGGGAACTCAGGGACCCGCAGTGGCCTGCGGACCAGCCATGGGGACGTGGACGAATCCGGGCCGCCCCTGCAGAGGATCGGAAGTGTATTTCTGTACCAGGCTTCGAGCCCGCCGGCCCTGCGAGAGCTGCGCTTGGATCACAATGTGGCCGTCCACTACCTGCCCAAGACTGTTAGGAAGGGTGACGTTCTCACCTTTCCTATCTCTGTTGGCAGAAACACCACAGAAGACCAGTTCACACTGAGGTGAGTGGTTCCCACCATCTGTGCTGGCTCCGGGTCAGACACGCGTGTCTCCAAACAAGGCCACGTTTCTATCTTCACAAGCCCTATTCCCGTGTAAGGTGGAGACCTGCTTCACCTTTCAGCGTTGGCGATTTGGTTCTTATTCGTGGATGTTCCGGTCACCATAGGACAGACGGTGGGGCTGGGGGTGCTAACTTAGGTCTTTTGCTGTAGTTTGGGGTGCATCAGCCAGTTTTAGGAACCTAGGGTTATCCCATGAGAGCCATTTCAGAATTGGGAACAGGCAACTTTAGAGACAGTGTAGATTCCGGTTTGGGGCCAGACAACATGACATTGAGTATGGTGGTAAAGTGAGTCGTGTGGATTTTATAGTTTCCCACTAGGATTTTGCAGTTTCCCACTAAAAACTACTGTAGTTTCCCACTAGGATGAGAAAGTGTGACGATGATGGCAAACACAGGCCACAGACGTGAAGTCGGTGCACGCGGCTGCCACAGACCCCCCCATTCGTAAAAAACACAAGGTCTTTGAAGCGCAATAAAACGAGGCGCACTTGTAGTTAAATGCTTCCAAGTTCAAACAAAGCCGCAAATGGGCCCGTGGCAGTTGTCTGAAAACATAGGAAGTATGTTGCTAGAAATTCACATGTGTGAGTTCCAAGTGTCATGTGACACCAGCCTCAGGGCTGCTGTCTTCTCTCTCTGGACACACGCATTAAGAGTCCAAAAGGTGAAACAGCCCAGCGTATACAGGGTGGACAGTGGGACTTTCCGGGCATCTGCTATCAGAACCCCCTCCCCAAAGATGAGGCAGAGTGGATACTGTGCCCTTTAGGAAAAGCTCCTTGGATTACATGTGAGAGAAACTTGCGGGCTTGTCTGAAGTGCATTTTCGTCATATTGTTTGTTTAGTTTTTTTCAAACGAAGGAAAGTTCGTGTATAACTGCTACATAATGAAAATGTTGATTGGGTTCCTGACAGTATCTTAACATCCTCACCCAGTGACTTGATCTGAAGTGAAATATCCTAATGTCTCTGCTGGCACCTGTGGAAATCTGAGCAGCAACGTCAGACTTGGTATATCTGTGGGTTTGTAAGGTTCCGACAATAGTTATTTTACAACACCCTGTCTGACTTGATGGCTACTCTTTTCTTTCTTCCCTTAATTTCTATCTTCTTTTCTGTCTTGTTCTCTCTCTTTCAGCTCCTCTTCTTTTTCTTTCTCTTTTTCTATTCTTTTATCAAGAGTTGCATGATCAATTTCCAAAGCTTCCCCCTTTTGAGTGCAACATTTTTTTTTTTTCCAGTTTACAATTTGGCTGTGAAAATTTTCTTATTCATAGATTTCCTAGGCTGTCATGCACAGTCAGCGTGGCTGCTAATGTGACATCTTGTGCCATAGTTTGGGGTGCTGTGGCTGAAGGGTGGGTGAGTCTGAGAATCCAACCACTAGGGTCCTTTTGCATGTCTATTTCATTATCATTCAGCATTAAGTAGTATCAGAAATTTACACTTCCCAGTAATTGACCACGGCTGATTCTGCACAGGTCCCGCCCTCTGCCGGGGATGTCAGCTGACCTCCCTTAGCCTCTCTGGATGTGCCTCTCGTCCAGCCGGCTGCAGGTTGTTCTAGGCTCCCAGGTGCATTTGATCTTAAATGCAGCGGTCATTTCTTAAGTAAAGATGTTGCTGATAACAACCGGATGTTTGGATTAAAGAGAGCTTTGTCCTCTGGTATGGTTTCACACTCTACCAACTTCAGGTTTGCTGACTACTAGCTGCCTGGTTTCTGGACCCAGGGTTAAACACCACCGTCCCCTGGAGCTTTGACAACCCAGGAAACAAAGGCAGCTTTCAGCTCCTTTTTTCTGGAAGCATCGTATGTATTGTGCAGAATTTCCCACAAAACTTTGCATCTCTGAACAGCCATCCCCCAGTGAACAACTCAGTGTGAGCATGAGGTGGCCCCCGTTGCTGGTCTAAAGGAACAAATTCAAGAGAGAGTTGCCCTGCTGGAGGCATGCTCTAAGGGGCCCGTGTGTTTTCAACTTCAGGAGCAAACACATAGAAGCATCCAAATCCGATGACGGCTCCGTCACAAATTTAGAGTCGGGGCATTGCGAATGGAACAGCGGCATAGTTTTCAGATCCAATCAAGTAGCAGTATGTAAAAAACACCATCATCTCTGATGGGCAAGAGCAAAGTACAGGCAGATCTCACGGGTACAGAGGGGGTTCCAGACTGCCACAGTAAAACGGGTCTGACCATAAAGGGAATCCCACAGATGTTTTCATTGCCCAGTGCGCAGAAGAGTGATGTCGACACTGCTGCCATGTACTGAGTGTGTAACAATAGAGTGACCACCACTGGGCGCAGACACATGCAGTGCGTACACGCTGTGGGAACGGCACTTGTAGACCCGCTCACTGCCGTGTTGCCACGGACCCTCCACTTGGAACAGACATAGTTTGTAGGAATTACGATAGAGTGAATCATGATCAAACAAGATGTGCCTCGAAATAGGTCTTTCATGAAGGTGCGCTTGACTTGGCTGTCTGTCTCCTTCTTGTTACGAGCATACTCCCTGCACACTTAAAACACTCTCAGTACAAACGCGCCTTCTCTGTTTATTAAACAGCTGGAGGGGATCTGGCTTGGCAGCATTATTAGCCTTGAGTCTGTATCCCATAATTGGGAAATAATAAAACTGTACATCTTTTTTTAATGAAGTCAATTTGACTAATTTAGCATAGCCTCCAAGTCTTTAGAAGGAGCGTGGGTTTGCTGCAGCAGACCACGTGTTATACATAACCCTGTGAGATTCAATGAGGCTTTCCCTCAGAGACTGTGACTTTCATCACCAGGCACTAGGTGTAGACAATGTTGACAGGGTCCCCAGGGGCCAGGGTGGGCAGCCATCCACTTTCCTAGGGAGCTGTGTGCTACACAATCAGGGCTCTGGTCCAGCTGATGGTGGGGGCCCAGACTTCCCTCTCTTCACTTAGAAGTACCTGGGAAGAAAGGCCTGGGTGTGATCTGCTTCCAAAAAAATCAGCCCCTGAGAGCCCGATGGAGCACAGTTCCATTCTGACACACACGGGCGTGCCACGGGTCCGCTCAAAGGCAGCGGGTTTGGTTGAATGGGTCTTGGAAACACACAGGTGAGGCAGACTATAAGCGAAGGCAGTGTTTGGGGTGGGGAGTTAACCCACTTCATTGGGTATTGAAATGATCGAGGGCCATAGAGCTTAAGACTGAGCTCCTGTCGATATTTTCTATTAAAGATACGACGTCCACTCAACGTGGTAGGGGACATTTATGAAAAACCACAACAACCATCCCACTCTGTTGTGTGTGTGTGTGTGTGCGCGTGTGTGTTTCAGCCTTTGAGAACCAGGAAATCCGGATGGGGCTGTTTGTCCTCTCGTACAGCCTCTTGCATCCTGCGGCTTTTTTTTTCCTTCCAAAGCAGGTATCACAGATGAAGTAAAACTTTTATCCCTTACACACATCTAAGCATCCTTTATAATTTCAGGGGGAAAAAATGTTTTGTGGTGTTGTTTTTTTTCACGCGAACACATGAAGCATCCTGCGGCACCTGGTCCCTTTCTTCTATATTCTCCCGCCCTCCCCTACAGAATGCCGAGTTTAGGAGCACCTGGGGCCTCCCATCCCCAGATCATGTATCTGGGGGAGACCAGAATTTGGGCTCTGGACTCCACATTCTCAGAGAGATGTGTCTCTTCCCCCACCCCACAGAGAATTGGGGCCTGAGTTCTGTTGTAAGGACAAATCCAAGTACTAACCTCGAATTAACTTGTCTGTTGGATACCCCAGAAGTGGGGCAGGACACCCCGGAGCAGTCCTAAATGTGTGGGAGGGACAGATGCCTTCCTGAATGAAAGGACAAGTGGATGACTATAAATAAATACACACTCTTCACTGAGATCTCTGCCATGGGAAATACTCAAGAATTTGCTGAGTCTCCTGTGCCCGGTGCTGTGACCAGGCTTTAATTCTTACATTGTCACCAAGGAGACATTTGTGTGAGTCTGAGAGAAAAAGAGTCCCAATCTCCATGTCTGGCAAGGGGAGCGAGTGGGTCTGGGATGGACACGACTCAGTGCTTCTCCATACTGTGCGAAGGCTGCTTTGCTGATGACTTGGAGTTTGTTAGGAAGAAAGTCTGCAGTTTCGGACTGACCTGGTCTTGAACTCACCTGAAGGATGTAGTCTTTGAGGACCTGCGTTGACCTAGAATAGGATCTCTTCCAATTCTGTTTCAGATAGAGCCTCACAGCTCATGAAGCAAGGTGCGGCCGCTGGTAGTGTAGCCGTTACAAGTCGGGCTGTTACCCTCAAGGTCAGCATTTGAAACTACCAGCCATTCCACAGGAGAAGATGAGGCGTTCTGCTCCCGTAAAGATTTACAGCCTCGGACACGCTGTGCAGGGTCGCTGTGAGTTGGAACCAACTTCACAGCACACCACCACCACCACCACCACCATCCACTAGTATTCTGAGCTATAGACTGTAACTCTCCATGGGCTAATTTAAGATGAAATACCTTAAATCGATTAATTACATAAATTAAAATAGGTTCTTGTTAAATGCCGTCAAGTCAGTTCTGACTCATAGTGATCCTGTATAGAGTTTCCAAGGACCAGCTGGTGGGTTTGAACTGCCGATCTTGTAGTTAACAGTCCAGTGCTGATCCTGCAGTGCCACATGAGAAGTTAACATATAGAAATTGAAAATATTGAAATAAAAGATCAATGAGATTGGATTCTTGAGAGGCGGGGGTATTTCAAGAATTCATTAGTGTGTTCTGAGAGAGTGTCATCCATCCACATGTAACCATGGTGTAGATGCTGGAGCTGACTCCCATGGGCCAGTCCTCTCGTGGTCCTAGTGAAGGCCTGCCGTAGTCATTTCCTGTTTTTGGCATCCCCACATGGTATGCAGAAACACTGGAGAGGGCCCCCTAGGGACTCACTAT